CATCAACAAGCATTATTATTATACTAAGTGAAGTAGGCTATATAAATTACATAATGTCATTATGCTGTATCTATAATAAATTGCTAACTAAAACGTCTCTTTAATAATTTTATTAAGCGTTATCTTCAATTTTTTTTCCCTATCTCTATCACTTTCTAGAAGACTCCATATAATCTTATTTTTCCTATTCACTAGTGCCTTCAACAACTTTTTTTAATACATATTTAAATCATCTCAAATGATTTTCTATTATTTTCTCTTTAATAAATGCTAAGCAGACTCTTCCTTATACATACTCATTCTGATTATTATATTTCCTCATGAACACACATCTACTATTATCCCCAGTTTTCTTTTTTCCCCTTTGAACCCTAACATTCACCATCGTTTGTAGCAATGCTAAGACGACAAAATTTGTCATAGTCATAAATTTTGCTTCCATAGCTCTAATATGTATAATGTTTGTGAAATTCATCTTGTAACTGTTAGAACAACCCAAAGAGGATTCTATGATGGGATAAAGTGGTTATTTAGAAGACGGCTTGCAAGCAATGTTCGATGATGTGATCAAAGTAAAATAATGTCCTTGAATTCAGGTGGCGTATAATAATTTTCAAACATAGTCTCAGATTTGCTTTATAATGTCAAAGCTAAAATCATAGACTACAAAGGGGGGAGAAAAAAGGAAGAGGGTGCCAAACTTTTTGTAGGCATATTAAGTCAATTGTGATAACAACTTTTTTTTTTTTTCTTTTGAGGGGTCAAATTATGATAAGAGGATTACTAATAAAGCCATTGTGGGGCCATCAGACTAAAGGGGCCTAATGGGCCAGCCCAAAGTGTGGCCAGGTTGGGCTGAAAAGGACACCGACTTGAAATTGTTGGAGTGAATGGGCCCACCAAAAGAGATCGGCCTACATCATTAATAGGTCCACTAGGAATTGACATCTTTTGCTTGGAAAAAAATTGTCTTCTTTTTTTTTTACCAGCAAATTTTTCTGTTGAGGATAAGATTGTCCTTTTGATATGCTTTCTGTCTTTTCAAATCTTTTCAAAGCATAAATAGATCATAATACATTTAATTTTTTAAAATATAAATATAAACTAAATTTGGTTCAGAAATAAAAATATTTTCGTATAATATTTATAAACTGAAAAATATTACAAAAATAATTTTCATATGCAATTTTTTCTTTGCATATTTTATACATGTATGCATGTGTTTTCATGCATTTTATGAAGTTTCAAGCTAAAATGGGCGATCAAGGCCAAAGAAAATAAATAAATGGGGATTATCAATTTATTATGATATCCCAAAAAAAATTACTAAAAAAAGCTAATAACAATTAAATAGTATAAATTTTGTTGTTATTTATATTGTAATTTATCATCAGACTTTTTTTAGTAGTTAATAATACATCCTTAGAATTATACAGTGATTCTCCCTAAACTCTTCTTTTTTTTATAATGTGAATTTTCGTGACAAAATATAATATAATAATGCATCTTTTTACAAATTTTGTTAGGAAAAACCCCAAAAAAAAACTTTTTGAATTTTAAAATTTTAAATCAATCTTATTTATTTCACTTTGATAGCAATTGAATACACTTAAAAGCAAATAAGCAAATGACAACAAATTGTTGTGGTAATTCCTAATTTAGGATTTTAAAATTTAAGAGGTAATTTTTGGGAATTTTTCCATTTTGCTACTCACATATATCTATGTTATATTATTTACTATTTACACACAGTTTTTATTATAAAAATGGAGAGAAAATAGTAGTATTCATCACAAGTTGCATTTTTTTTCATAGAATCTGTTTTCCATTTTGCAATTAGATTCGTAATGTAAACTTGCAAAATTTTATATTTAATAGTAAATAATATGATATATGTATAATTATATAAATAAAATATACAAAAATTTATGAAATTGTATTGATTCATATATTATCAAAAATTTATAACTGAATACTATTCTACCAATCATTGAAGAAGTTACATATGTGTCTGAGTTATTGATAGAAAAGGAATTAGTTTCATGCAACAATAATTAAGAAACTACTACAAACGAATTATTTACTCGAAATTTTATAATGGATATAATTTTTAGATATAAGCCAAGTGACAAGTATTTTTTTTAACCTTTTGGATCAACGTTAGGTATTTTTTTGGCATTTTAAATTTATTAGGGGATGATAAGTACTCACAAATGAAAAAAAGCAGTAAACTAATAAAAAATTATACAATTTTCAGAAATTTCAATTATGCTGCCTCTTGTTTTAAATATAAAATGTAATTTGTAATGCAAAACTAATTCTTATATTTAGGATTGGAGGTGGTATTTAAACTTACAATTTCAATACCAAACTATTCTTCCCATCCTGAATATAGATGTTAATTAGGTAGTTAATTTTAGTTCTAAATATAATATCTTAATATATTTTATCTCTTATATTTATTTTTAAACTAGTTTATTTAATTTATAAATTAATATATAATCTAATGTTAGATAGTGATATTTTAGGGAGATCATATAATATTTATTAGAATTAAATAGTTTATTTAGCGTTTTTTTAATATATCTGATTCAATTACCTCTTTCGTTAAAAACTAAAGAAGCATAATTCTAATTCTGGTTAAAGTGTGTTTACGAAGCTTCAGGGTTATTAAATTTTTAACAGAAATTATTACTTCGGCTCTTGATTAGTTCTTCAATGCAACTCACTTTAAAATGATTGCAAGCATACACGGAAGATTTTTAATATTTTAAAATCTGTTTTTAACCCATAACTAAATTTACTAAATAAATATGTGAGTATTTAATTTAGTTAATAAAGCGAACAAGTTTTTATATGAAAAATTATGTGGGTATCCAAAAGTTTTTTGATCAACGTCTTTATTCCCCTCTAATCGAATCCTAACAAAATATATCTCAATAAATTAGAAATAAAAATATATATAATGATGTATCATCATAAATGTAATCATTTAATTTTGCATTTAAAACATGATATAGAGCAGTAGACACCCATCCATGCATATAGCATGGGAGAAAAGATTCTAGTTTAGATCATATTGCTACAAAATTACATAATACTCTTCCAATTCTTAATATAGACCTATTTAACTAATTTGATTATATTAAGAAAGTTAAGTAAGTTAGTTAATTATAAGAAATATGACATATTTTTTTAAAAACCCCATAATCATATTTCTTAATATCTTCCCTCCCTCTTTCACTTGATTATGGTTGAGGGATTATCCATATGGGTAATTTAAGAAAAATTGATAAATATGATAAATATGTTTTATATTTAAGACTAAAATCAATTCAACAATTAGATTCTATATGAAGGATCGGAAGAGTATTACCTTGTCTACAATATAAGAATTAGTAAAAAAAATTAGATAATTGACCTGAGAATATTAATAAAATTAATTATTTATTTTTTTGTTAAAAAAATTAATTAGTTATCTGTAATAAATGTGTTTTATTTTTAATTTCTAAACTACTCTCTTTAATAATGTGTATTCGGGTTACACCTTGATTGAGAGCTCTTTTAATATGTACAATTAATAAATATACTTCGAGCAAAAAATTATAAAATTAAAAGGCAAAATAAATTAAAATCTTATAAAATGAATTCTTTTTCTGGTTTCCATATTTAGAAGCAGAGATAGTATTTGGTAAATGACTGTTGGCTCCAATTTTTATGCAAATGAACTAGACTATCTAGATAGAAAAGTTAGTTAATTATTTAATATTATTAAAAGTAACAAATATATATACATATATATATATAAATGCAACCAATTGCTTAAAAAACATCCATATTCAAGAAAAAAGAGTAGTTGGCAGATAAAATGAATAAAAAAGAGATGATAAAGATGGGTAATTAACTTGGGGGAAAAAATATCAACAAACTCTTAGTTGATATGGCAAGTAGTTTCACCATCTTAAGAAAATAATACAAATTTAAGTATCAAAAATTATATTTATTGAGAGAATTTTAACTTTAAATACTTCTGACTTGATAAGAATTAGTTTCAAATTTAAAATAATTTGATATACCTTAAATTATTAAAAAATTGAGGAAAAAATAAATTAAATATTTCGTTATTGAACACACTCATCAAAAAAATCGTAGCTTATAAGCCATGTATTGAAACCCGGACCAAACCGATAGGTTCAGACTGGAAATCAATGAACCGGCCTAGTAACCGGTTCAGTTGAGCATTTAAACCGTAAGAGAACTGACTTAGTGTGATCTAGATCAACCAGGGCAAACCTGTAATAACCTAGGTAACTAGCCCGGTTTGGTGGGTTAACCTGTTTGCCTTGTTTTTTTTTTTAAATTATTTTGATTATTTTTCTTAAAAGCTGTTGATAATTAAAACTTAGTGATTGAATAACTATAAAAAGAAATATTTTGTTATCATAGATCTATTTTGATATTTTATTAGGATGAATATTTAGTGATTTTAGTAGTATGATATTATAAGAAATTATAAGTATATGATTATTTTATTGAGTGATTCAAGATATTAAATTGATATCTAATTCTTAGTAAAAATTTTAATTATTTTTTATTGTTTTTATATTTCTCATCAGTTTGACCTCGATTTGACTCCAATCTATCCTATTAACTCTTAATTTATTGTCTTGACTAGTTTAATTGCTGGCCTGACCTGATTTTCAATACCTTGTTTATAAGAGGATAGCATAGGGTGACACTCTTTTTTTAATCCAGTCAATTGCGGTTAACTTTTTCTAAAACTTCAAACTATTTATTGATTTTTTTCTTCTTTTTTGAAAAAAGACTCCAAATTCTTAAATTCCAACTCCGAATCAGATTCTTGCAAATATGCAGATATTAATTGAACACAAATGACAAATTTCCAGCCACCATCCCCACGTCACCGTGAGGCAATCTATATGTGAAACGTAGAGTAAGTAGAACCGCTGAGTGTGAGACTCGAGAGGATCCAAATTACCACCTTCATCTCTGGTTTACTCCGCTGCTACCTACCGCTTCCATTCCATCAACGAAGATGAAGCAGAGAACGCGTCCTTCCATTAAAGACAGTTCCGTCAGAACTCCTCTCAAAGCATCAGCTTCTTCTGCTCGCTCCATTCCCTTCTGCTCGCCGGCGATGGCATCGGAACCCGCGACTTCGTCATCATATGTAGCTGATTTCTCTGCTCTTCCCTACGACATTTTAGCCAAAATTGCAGCCTCCTTTAACCTCCCGAACCTTCAAGCGGCGTCGTTGGTATGTAGGTCTTGGTCGGAGGCGCTTAGGCCGCTGAGGGAGGCGATTTTGCTGTTGAAGCGGGGAAAGCGATTCAAGCATGGCCGGGGAGGTGTTAGTCCTAATACAGGGAAGGCATTGGATTCTTTTATGAGAGCTGTTGCTCGCGGCTCCACATTAGCGATGGTTGATGCGGGGCTGATTTATTGGGAGATGGGCGAGAGATCGAAGGCGATTGCTCTGTATCAGAAAGCTGCGGAACTTGGAGAACCGGCTGGGCAGTGCAATTTGGGAATTTCCTATTTGCAAGGTATTTTCAGAATTTCAGTTTGAGCCATCTAGTTTTGCCAGAAAGAACGAAAATTTTGCGCTATGTAGTTATTGTTTTCGTTAGTGGACTGGTGGCTGTGGCTTTGATTTTTTTTCTTTTCCTTTCCAACATCTGTTCTTTTAACCATCTTTTTCTCTTTTCGAAGACTAGTGCGTAGCAGTCCCTGTCTAATTTCCACTCGCATTCACTTAGTGCGTAACTATATCATTGGCACATTTAAATTTACTATTAGCTGTGTCAAAAAGTGCATTATAAACTAACTTCTAAAACTATCTGTGCTCTTCCATCCGCATATACAATTGCCCCTTTCAATTATAATCAGTGGTTGATTGAGGATTAACAGGAAAGTAATCAACAAAGTCAAGCATATCACAGTATATCTTAAGTTCTCGACCACAGTTTATAAAGGTATATTATATCTGCATTCTGCATATGTAAATCTTTAATGAACGCTTCGCTCATACAAGCCTAAATGACTGAAGTTTTTATGACGATAGAAACTGGGTCATAAGGATATACTGTTTTTCTGCAGCTGATCCTCCTAATAGCAAGGAGGCTTTAAAATGGTTATATAAAGCTTCGTTTCGGGGTAACGCTCGTGCTCAATACCAACTCGCACTTTGCCTGCATCGAGGTCAAGGGATTGATAGCAATATGAAAGAGGCAGTAGGTTTCTATTCTATCCTCTCATTGTTAATTATGATTGAGCCCTTCTATTTTTGTTTTTCATTATTTTTAACTAGATGGGACCAAAGCGGATAATCCATTCGACCTTATTATAATGCCTGAAATTTGCGTATGCTATTTCCTCTTATATTGACTCTTAAGTTGATGGTTAACCTATGTGATGGTATTAGTGATCTTTGGGTGAGAATTAGATCTTTAATGTCCAAAAATCTAATGATACTGGGCATTTTTAGTTCCTATGCGATTATGATTTGTTCTGAACTTCGCTCATTAACAAGTTGCCCTTGAATAGGCTAAATGGTATCTGAAAGCTGCTGAAGGTGGTTTTGTACGTGCTATGTACAACGTCGGCTTATGCTACTCCTTTGGGGAAGGTCTGAATCATAGTCATAAACTAGCAAGAAAATGGATGAAGCTGGCCGCGGACCATGGTCATAGTAAAGCTCAATTTGAGCATGGACTTGCTCTCTTTTCTGTAAGTGTTATCTATGCTTTCTTATTTGAAACATTCTCTGAAGAATAAATGCAATAAGCAAATTGTCTGTGATCTTCTTTCACATATGGGAAAACATGGCTTAAAAACCATGGGCTACTGACTTAAAATACAAACTCACTGTCCTTTTTAGATTGTAAATGAACAGAGTTTTATTTGAACAATTCTGGTTTGGCTAGCACAAAACTTACTTCCATATCAGTTCATTTATTAAATGAGTGAGCTTGAGTGTAACATTAAGCTTGTTGAATTTAAATTTAGCTTTGGGATATGATTCTCAGCTCATTTACCTTAGGAATGGCTTGTTTAAAATTTTAATTATGCGTACTTGTAGGCATAACTATATGCATACATAATAGTATACATTTTCTTAAGTACCAAATAAAAAAAAAAAATCGAAAACAATCCCTTGCAATCAATCTTTTGACTGCATGCTGCAAATAAAATGTTGACAGCTGCGGATCCATTCCGTGAAAATTCTTTTGACTTGTTAAATTCATATGGTGCATGTTCATGAGTGAGATTATGAGTTAAGCCCGTGCTTGATCTCAAATTGAGTTCGTTAATGATGCATGATTATTTTTACACTTCTAAACCTTCTTAAAAATTGATAAAACTTGCACGACAATCTTACTACTTCTAACATTTGTGCTTGTAGTTGTAATTAACAATGAGCATTTCAGTATCACTTGCCTTAATTTTGGGATTGTTGATTGCCTTTCATATGCGATCTAGTTATGTACTATATGGCACTAAATGATGGTCTGCAAGCTATTCATAGGCGTATCGTAACGATGGTTGGTGGCTAAAGGATTCAAATTTTGCATCTAATTATATGGCTTCTAATGTTTCAAGCAGGTTACTTCTTTTCAAATTGGAATATGATTGTTTCTAATGGAGGTAATGCTTCTGTACAGGAGGGAGAGATGATGAAAGCTGTAGTGTACTTGGAACTGGCCACTCGTAGGGGCGAACGAGCTGCTGTCCATGTCAAGAATGTAATTCTTCAGCGGCTTTCTGCAACCTCTCGTGATCATGTCATGCATCTTGCTGATAGATGGCGTGCTTTGCCGTCATTTTGACTGTTGATTCACGCCTTGAACCGTTAGTGAATAGAAAATTGCATATCTTAAATGGTTATGCTACATCTAATGAATGGCCCAGTCAATGAAGATAGCATAAACATGGCCAAGGAAAGCAGGAGCTCACTGGGAAGTTTCCTATGCCATTTCCCCCACAAATATAATTGGTTATCTTGTCAATAGGAAAAGGCAAGCTTACTAGTCAGTATCCTCTTAGACAAGTACAAAAGGCGCCACCTCTTTTTTGCTCTAGGTACTAACATTAATCAAATAGACAAGATCACAGACCTTGACATGGGTAACAGGGCTTTCTTGTCCCCCCTCTTTGATTTTTTCTAAATTGTATTGTTTGGGAGCAGAGTAAAAAAAAAAAAACAACACACACACACACACACACACACACACACACACACACACACACATCAACAGCAAGGCTACAGCACTTTCTTTGAATGAGTACCTCATTCCCTAGTTCAATATTGGAAAGCTGATATGTTTGGAAGAAGTGGAGCTAATATTTTTAGGAAGAATGAAAACTACAGGTGAAAGTCAAATTATTTTGGGGACATCATATGGGAGAGTATTTAAACTACATCTCTTAATTAACTCAGTGAAAGTGCAGGTTGAAACCAGCATATATGCCGACAGAATTCGAATTCACATAACGCTCCTAAAAATGCCAGCAGCTAATATTAATACAGCATAAGCAAGATTTTCAAAATTCCTTTTGTTTATTGGCAATAGTGTCATGAGGCATCCATGGCGAATGGTTGACTTATAGTTCATAGCCTGGTGATTTTGCATGGGACATCAAGAGGCCGTTTGGTTGGATTCCATGAGAGAGAATTACATGTAATCCTTATGTCACGCCCTGATTTATATGTTTGGTTGGGCTTATATAATATAAAAAGAATTATATTTTGTAATACTAATTATATCAAGTGAAGTCGTCATTTCTGCTTGGTCATCTCTGTTGCTGCTGTTATCATCTCCATCAGCAACTTTTTTGTTGCTGCTGCTATTATTTCCATTGCTAGACTAATATTTCAGTCATTAACACTGCTATATTTCTTTTACATTGAAGGTCACTTTTTTTTATTTATGAAAATTCCAGTTTTTGGAGGCTTTGTGTTTTTTAGCTTTCATGAAAGTTCTGGTGTATTATTGGCAATCGCAGACACTGCTACATATTACTACTAAACTATAGTTGAATGGTTGATGCATACTTGGTGATATATATATATATATATATATATATATATATAAGTTGCAAGGGAGAATCTGATAATGGCAAAGCATACATAGATATTATTATATTTGTTTGTGTATTATATACTCTAGGTTTTTTGGCTTGAACTTGTTAATATATATGTGGATAGCGTTATTATATATATTTGGAGAAAAAGTAGACAACTTTAAATCATTATATATATTCATATATGTAAATAAGAGTAATTTTATGAGAAAATTGTAAAAAAAGACCTTGGAATTGTAAAAACGCAAATAGGGATCCTTGACAACTTCACTTTAGGTTTTGATAAGAATAATATGCCCTGAAGTTGTCAAAACTCAAAGTGAAGTTGTTAAGGATTCCTATCTACGTTTTTGTAATTCCAAGGTCTTTTTTGTAATTTCTCCTAATTTTATCTTTTGATACATTATTCTTATCTATTTTAATGTCCTGTATAATCCAACCAAATGTTTTTGGGCCCGTTTTGTTCCATTGCACATGCATAAGGAATGCATTGCATTGTAATGCAATATATAATGCATGTTGATCACCGTGTTTTTGTTTGGTATCGTATCAAAGGGATGGGAAATAAAATTAATTTTTCAGTTAACTTAAATGTAAATATATGTGAAATGACCAAAATGTCACTAAAGGAAACTTTTCCCTTCTCCATTTAGTACGCCTTGATCTCCACCAATCACCATAATTGCAGATTTCAAGAGACCAACCATTTAACTATTCCTGTAAACCTTCAGGAGTTCCTCTGCCTATGCCATTAGCATCATCTATAACCAGTTTGTCATTTGACCCACGACAGTTGCGTTTTTCACTTGGGATTAAATCCATTGAGCGCTTGATCCAATCAAATAATAATCCAAAGAAAATATGCCGAGTCAAATTTAAAACCACAAATCTAGATCATTGAGTGAATGAGTGAATCCACGAAATCAAACCATGATTTAAAGCTAGACGAACAAGATGATGGGAAACCCACAATGAAGTAGTAGGGAAGAATACTCCAGTATATAGATTTCGATAAGCAATAAATAGCACGTCTACTCAACATAGAAGACCGCTGATGAAGATGAAGGGGGAGGTAAGGAAGGAAGATGTGTGGCCGATAATGATGGTTGATAATACTTGTTGAGAATAAATGTTGTCTTTTCATCTAGGTTATTAAGGGTAAAATTGTCATTTTATAAAGGATTACATACATGCAATAAGTATTCATAGGGATCTTCCTATGAATAGATATTACCAAAAAATGTGCAATCTTCTTTACTAATGCAATCTTGATTACCATCAATAAAACCAACCAAACAAGTTATTTATGGTAATATAATAAAGATTACCATTACACATTTACAATGAGACTAAACCAAAGGCCTTTTATGGTTATGTATCATCTTTTTAATGGTATACTAAGCAAACTCAAGTAATCATTATTACATTACCAAGAATTCAATCGACCAACAAAAAATAGAAGGGAACGGCGGACCAGAGGCATTGTTTTATGTGAAAATTTCATTTAAGGACCTCTATAGCCAATTAATATCAGTCAATCTCTAAAACATTTAAAAACTTCAGTCAACCAATTGGACCAAAATGAAATTAAAATTTAAAAATAAAATTACAATATTACCCCTTCTTTTTATTTTTTTAAAAAATAAATATTAATGGTCATTGGAGGTCCGGGATGCTCAGGTAGTTGGCACCTCCGATGGTAGAAGGATTTCTTTTTTAAAGAAGGTGGCCGAGAAGGGTTTGAACCCATGACCCCTCAGCATACCAAAAATAATGTGACCATCAAGGCAACCAAGTCATTTAATTATATGGTGCAAAGAAAAACATATATAACAAAACAAATGCAAGCGTCCAGGTATAAATAAACAAGTGAAATTCAGTAATTCACAACAAAAATTTGACAATTTACAAGTAACATAATGAAATTCACAACCTTAAATGCAAGTGTTTATGTGTGAATAAGTAAGTAAAATTCGATGATTTACAACAAAAATTCATGAATTTATAAACTAAATTCAGCGATTCACAAGAAATATAAGAAAATTCACAACCCCAAATACAATTGTTTAAATGTGAATGAGTAAGTAAAATTTAATAATTTACAACAAAAATTCAGCAATTTACAACTCAAATTCAGGGATTCAAAGAAAACATGAACATTACAAGACTTATAAAAGAATTCACAACCTCAAAAGTTTTACTAATAAGGGTGTCGGCACATCTATTCAGGGAGGTTTTACTGCTTCCGGTGACATTAAATAAAGATGGGCATCTTCTTAATTTTTCTAATTAAGGCTCGGTCGAATGAAAAAGAGTATGCAACGTTGTATTAGAATTAATTACATATTCCCTGTATTTAATTTTTGTTTCTTCATAATGCTAATGATCTCAAGTTGGCTCTTTTAACCATTTTGAGTTCATCAATACATTATGATGTAATTATATTATAATTTTTCATAATGAATAAGATATTAAAATATGGTTTGCAATATAAATAAATGTTACGTGGACGACATATTGTCAATAATACAATTCTCCGTGTACAGTCTTCATTTCTTCTGGCTCAACACACACACACACTCACATCGAAGCCTTTGATAATTAACTCATAACTTTTATATATTTAACAGATCATAATGAATAAATTCACAAGTTAAAAAGAAATAAATCTAGATATTTGAATCACAATTTAAATTAATGTACAATGCGTTTAAAAAGTATAATGGAATTCACAACCTAAATACAGCTTCCCTGAATATAAGCTCTGGTGCCTTAATTAGCAAAATTTTTGAAGTTGTGAATTCTCTTGTAAGTTTTGTAATATTTATGTTTCCTATGAATCTCTGAATTTGCGTTGTAAATCGTTAAATTTCACTTATTTATTCACACTCAAACACTTACATTTGGGGTTACGAATTCCCTTATATTTCTTGTGAATCTCCGAATTTGAGTTATAAATATATAACTTTTTGTTGTAAATCTTTGAATTTCACTTGCTCATTCATATATAAACACTTGTATTTAGGGTTGTGAATTTCACTATGTTACGTGTAAATCGTTAAATTTTTGTTGTAAATTGCTGAATTTCACTTACAAATTGTTGAATGTCACTTGTTCATTTACACTTGGATACTTACATTTGTTTTGTTATATATATTTTTCTTTGCATCATATGACTAAATGATTTGGATGGCTTAATGGTCACATTACTTTTGATATGCCAAAGGATTATAGGGTCAAACCCGTCTAGCCACCTTATTTTAAAAAAGAAAAATCCTCCTGCCACATGAGTCCAATGGCAAGCCACCAGAGCTCCAACCTCTGGTGCCTGCCACCTGAGCACTGTTGGCCAAAGTTTCGGCAACCATTAATATATTTTTTTAATGAAAAAAGAGGGGTAGTATTGTAATTTTATCCTTAAATTTTAATGTTATTTTGGTCTGATGGGGTTCACTAAAATTTTCAAATGTTTTGGGGGTTGACTGACATTAATTGGCTATAGTGGTATTTAAATGAAATTTTTCCTTGTTTTATCAAACAAAAAGGCCATGCTTTGATAATTGAGACAAGTACTGAGTAGAACTGAAAATAGACCAGGTTTCACCTTTGACAGACTAGGCCTGTGTTGAAACCTTTTGGCTTAAGCCTAGCCTGTCGCCTATGATAGGCCTTGTATTCAGCCTAAACCTAGTCAGTGCAAAAGTCAAGCATGGCTTGGCCTGAAGTCTATTAAGAAGCCTGCATTATAGTTTTTTTAAAAAAAAATTAAATATACTTAAATCAATCCAAAATTATGATAATTCAATGTCAGTTATCTGAAATACAAACATAAAAATTATCTAAAATATTTAAGTGAAAAATATTTAATATTCAAATGGTAGTATATTAGTTTGTTGTTCATGTTTCAAATTACAGTAATAAACTAACTTTAAAATGGTTCCTTTTAGGAGATGTAGTTAAAAAAAAGCTATAATGCAAGGGATAAACAGAACCTAAATTCATAGAGGGGTTATTTTCTATTGTCAATTGTTGGTCACGTGCAACAGGAAAAGTATCTGAGAAGGGACAGGTGAAAACTGAGTAGTTTTATATATATAAACAAAAGTT